TTAGCTCCACCCTGAGGGTGCTCTTAGAGTCCTAGGACAAAGTCCTCCAGGTCTACAGCCTGAGACCTTGATGATTCAGATTGGCTATTGAAGGATGTTTTCTGAATGGCTGGCTGACTGAATCACAACAGGAGAATGTGCCTGAATTCACAAGTCCAATAATAGCCTGGAAATAGAAGCCATCTGAAAATGTTCTAAACTTTAGCTGGGTTGGCAAGGACTGGATGCGATTATAAAAAGCAAGTGAGAAGAGAATGTTACTGCAAGGAAAATTGAATCCATGAGTTTTAAATAACTTCATTCCAATAAAAAAATATTAAAATATATTTTGGGCCAATAACTATTGCTATGACAAATGCAAGCACTGTACATTGAAATTCTGTTAAGTTAAAAAATTAAAATAGCCACAACTGTCTCCTAAGGCCTAAATGCCCTTTTGTTAACTTACCTGTGTAACAAATTCCAGATTTTTTAAAAGTGAGTCCTATTTTAAATGTACATTTACATTTAATGCTAAGACTCAGTAGCTATGTAAGTAGGATTCCAGATTATATCATAGGCTCCTGTTTAAACATGAATAAGGAAATATTTTTAGCTTAGGTATGTTCTGAATCAGAACACAAACCTGGGCTTTAAAATCCACCTGTAGCTTTCTGTGGTTGCTGAAATGACACTCCAGTTCTCTCCCCTCACTGAGTAACTCAGGTGGTACCTATGAAAAGATGTTCAGAAACATGGCTTGTTCTGTTGACTTCCTGTCATGGTTTATCAGCTGGACATGGGAAGGCACATTTAGGCACCAGTCTTCCGTAAAATGTTTATGGTTTCCAGAATGTCCACCTGAATTTCTATTGTAAAAAAGTGTTGAAAAGAAATCCAGCTGGCATAAAGGAGGCAGAAATGCAAGCATGTGCAAATCCTATTACCCGCAACAGGTCGACAAGTTTACTCTAATAAGTATTTCTGGGTTATCTTTTAATGATTCACAATTGAATGTGATTTTTGCAAATGCAAGTAATTTAATGCAGAGTCATGATGGTTTTCTCAATTCTTAATGTAGAAAACTAAATGAAATCTACATACCCGCTCCAGGTTGTAATCCTGTACTTTAAAAATAACCTATCAGCAGAACGCAAATACCTATTTGTTTTGCATGTAACGCACTATTTGCTGAAGTTGGGAGGCAGCCTAGACCAACTTTCTTTTTGGGTTAATGGCCAGCAGCTCAAGGTTCTCCGCTGGTATCTGAGGAGATGCTTGAGGATCCCTGGGCCTTGAGAATCATCTCCAAAATCAAAGGGTATTACTATAATGAGCTTGGCTTCTGTTAAACAGTCACATTGCCGTTGATGAAGCAGATGGCTCTATAAAGCCAGCTTGATTGACCTGAACTAATTGGTCTGTGATGGGGGTAGAAGTTTATTCCACAGTGAGAGGGAAACTAAAAGCAAATGGGTCCAGGAGCAACTCCTGACTAAAAGTCTCGGTGCACCAGGAAGATTTCCTTACCCACAAATGACTGTTCTACTTGCTCACTAATGCTTCCAAAAGCTTTTATGGAGAAGGGACTGCATCCTGTTTTCTATATTTAGACGAAATAAAATTCCTTAAAAAACAAACAAAAAAACCTACCTATAAAAATGAGGGACTGCACAGTGCAGCTTGGAGTTCAAATCCCAACTTGCCACCTTACAGTTGTGTCCCCTTGGAACAAAATCACTTTCCCCAAATCTGTTTCTCCATCGGTAAATGACATCAACCTCAGGCTGTCATTGCCAAGACTTGTTTTGTAGATGCTCAGCAGAGTACCCAGCGCACAGCAAGCGTTGGAAAGCCACGCTAAGTCCACCCTAAAGCTTCTCAGATCATTCCACCACCACTCAGAGTAAGTGGCACAAGGGCAGAAGGCGGGGAGGGAGGAAGTGACGTGACCCTGTGTAGGTGGCAGCAAGGATTGGGCCTGGGGCCGCAGCAGAGATCCATGGCACCACCAAGGAGCAGTTTTGCACTTTTTTCCCTACATGCCACCCACTCAAACCTCAAACCATATTCAATTTCTATTTTGACATTAGATGTTTGGTCTAAAATCTTAATGTCCACATGTCACCATTCTCACCAATCTGGACCTTTATTTTTCTTATCCCATAATACTGTGTATTCAAGGTTCTGCTTGTGAGGCAAACCCTTCAGGAAAGGTCAAGCCACCAGAACGGCAGGGCCCAGTGGGGCTTGGGCCTTGGACCTTGGAATCAACATAAGCCGGAGAGAAACTACACATTAGGCCCATGGTTCCTTCACCCTCAAGGCGTACCACCTCCTCTTTCCACCGAGTGGACATGGCTCAGGATTGGCTTCAGAATAACGATGCCCTAATGCCAGCTGCACGCCCCCGCCAGCCTGAGGAAGAATGGGAAAACAACACTGCCCACTTTGCAGGATGATTATAAGGATGACACGCGGCACTGCGAGGCCTAAAGCGCACACAATTCTCTAGCAATTGAGAGCTACCCTCATCTTATTTCTTCCCATATTAAATTCAGAAATTCTCCTGTGCCCTTAATTTACCTGGGGTCTTTAAAGTACATATTACCCAGGTAGGTCCCAGCCCTAAATGGACTCATTGGAAAGTCCACTTGTAGGGCCTTGGAACTAGTAGTTTTGACAAGCTCCCCAGGTGAAGTGTGGAACCCACAGTGTTGAAGGGCAGGGCTTGTGGCTCCCCATTTTGTTAAGTCTAGCAGAATGGCCCATCCACACCTCCAACGCCCTCGAACATACGCTCAACAGCAGTGCTTTACCAGCACCTTCACTGAGGCTGCCCTAAGCGGCAGCTGCAGGGGTGGTGCCATCAGGCAGGAAAGAGGCCATGACAGCTGGGCCTGTAAAGACTGATGGGGAATGACAAACCATTTTCTGTAGCTATCAGCCTGGTCTTTGAAGCACTTTAAATGTGGCCTTTATATCCGAGTCAACCCTTTTCTCATCCGCCTGTGCTCTAATCCACTTTCAAGGTAAATTGCCCTTTATGATTTTTTTTATGGATTCAAGTCAATATATTCAAAGCGAGGTTCAATATCAAATCAAAATCCACATGAATAAAATATCAAATGCATTAAGTGAGCGATAATTTTAGTAGAGTCATTTTAACGTAAGTATTAAAAGCCGGCAGTCATCTAGATTATCGGCACTCAGATATTAAGCTAGAAGCATCTCCTTGACCACCTAGCCTTTGGGGAATTGTGACAGCGAGGAGGTCTGGAATGTGAAGTATAAAGTGGGGAAAAAAGCCACTATGAAAATATAAGCCCCACAGAGGTCAGGATTTTTGTCCATTTTGTTCAGTGATGTATCCTAAGCACCTAGAACACAGCCAGGCATACCCTAAGTACTCAATAAATTAAGTTGATTTTGTAAAATATCTTGCTAGAAAGTACTTGTAACAACTGAGACGAGACAGCCAGCCTAGCAAGGCATTTACCAGAAACACTGTGAAATGCTTCAATGGTAACAGGGACGGAAGGCTTTAATTAGCTTTTGATTTTTTAAAAAATGTTTAACTCTATCATAAAAGAGTCAAAGCAACCCAAACAAGGCAGCTTCGCCCTTGGTGAGATGGATGTGACATGGTTCCTTGGTGACTCCTCCAGTAAACATCTGAGTCCCTGTCATGTTCCAGGCAGAGCCAGGGACACCGTGGAGACCAAACCATCACCGCACCCTTTCAGTCCAGTGCTTGTGTCTGACAGCATCCAGATCCAGGAAAAAAGATCTCCTCCTCGAAGGCACACTCAGAAACCAGCCAGTCCACTCCCCACTTTTTGCAGACTGGGAACTATGATCCAGAATGTAAAGGAACTTGCCCAAGGCTAAAACACCAAAGACATAGCCATGGAGGGCGCTTGTTGGAGGCCCGTTTACTGAAGGTACAGGAAGGGATGAACGGCCGGCAGATGGGTTCGGATGGAAACCCAGTTCTCCCGCAAGACCATGCTCTTTCTCACAACGTTCAGCTCCTCACAGGGCACTGCTGCGTGTTCAATCCTCATTTGTTTACAACTCCTAATATCAAAGACCACTTCCAGATTCCCACCAACCTCTCTCCTCCTCCGTGTTTTTCTAAGGGAGATATATCGTATGCCAGAAACGTGAGCATCTGGCCAAGGGAAGCTGGCTATCCCTTCACCACCTTTCCCTGAGGAGTGAGTGACAGACAGATGTGGTTAGCAAACTGCTATGATGATAAACTATAGGAAATCGCTTATAGTCAGCCATTTTTAATCTTTTTTTTTTTTTTTTTTTGAGACGGAGTCTGGCTCTGTCGCCCGGGCTAGAGTGCAGCGGCCGGATCTCAGCTCACTGCAAGCTCCGCCCCCCGGGTTTACGCCATTCTCCTGCCTCAGCCTCCCGAGTAGCTGGGACTACAGGCGCCCGCCGCCTCGCCCGGCTAGTTTTTTTGTATTTTTTAGTAGAGACGGGGTTTCACCGTGTTCGCCAGGATGGTCTCGATCTCCTGACCTCGTGATCCGCCCGTCTCGGCCTCCCAAAGTGCTGGGATTACAGGCTTGAGCCACCGCGCCCGGCCGCCATTTTTAATCTTAAAAAACCCCGGCAATTTCATATAAACTGAGTATGTCATCACAACTTTTTGGTTGCATTCCTTGGAAATCCATAGAAATAAACATCAATCTACAAATTAAACTGTCAGGAAGCACAGACACCCCACAGATGAAATTATTTTATATTTTACTCTTACCCGAGTGAGTTCACAAGGTACGTCTTGGCATCGTTGCCTGACTACATGTCCACCCTCTACAAAGAATTCCAACTGGAATGAGCACATGTTCAGTTACTGTCAAATAGAAACAAGTGAACAGACACCAGGTGCACTGAGCAGACGCCGCACTTTTAAATTAGAGCGCGGCCTTTGAATAGTCCTCCACACACCTTGTTTTATCCCCTAACTGCTCCCAATTACGTACAAAATGCAGTCCTTTCACAGATGTTTAGAAAGTTTTTTATTGGTTACAATAATATAAAATGCATTGTTTAAATTCTCCTCTAGTTATTAAGTGTTTGCAGCAATAGCACAAAAAAATCTTTTTTTAATACATCTGACGAGCCCCAGTGATTTCAATGCTGGAGGGAAAAACAGCAAACAGCACTCTTGTCTATCTATAATTAACCTCTCTCTCTCTCAATGCTACATTGGTTAAAATCAATGGACAACCCCTTTTGGTATGTCAAATTGTAAATTTTAATGTTTTCATTAGAATAATCTTTTATAGCACTCTCCAAAAAGAAGCAATAAAATAACTAACAGCAAAGTTCAATACAGGAGCACTCTCTGGGTTAACAACGCCAACAAAAAAAGTGAAATGTAAATCACATATAATACAATTGAAGCGTCCAAAACAATTTAAATAATTTTAAATATTTTATTTTTAAACTGCTACAAATGCTTTATACAATATTTCAACATAAAGTCCCCATAACAGAAATGTAACAAAATGGGAATGATAGTGGAAGGATTAAAGTGGCACAAATTCACCAAACAAATATTAAACTACAAATTTTTAAGAGGTAGATTACTTTTGAAGTCGAGAACAAAAAACAGTATGAATAAAACCTAGCCGCTTTCCACCAACTCAGTCATTAATTTAGGGGGAGGCATAAAATGCAAGGACAAATGGTATTAATATACTTAGGAAGAGGCCAATTTGTTGTTTTTAATCTCTATTAGAGATGCAAGTGTAAAACCTGGTATGCAAATTCATTTATACTTACGTGTAGACATACATCTGTACAGGCCTGGGATGCGCCTGTGCATTGATATATTGCTAAATAGTCTCTGATAATATAATAGTTATAAATTAGTGCCAGATAAGAATCTGAGAGGATAATGCCCATTTGGATACACAAACGCAACACCAGAATAGGCATAAAAAAGAGTCCATATCCAATCTGGTTTCCTCTCCATTAAGCTGGCAATCTACTTGTGATTTAAAAAAACAAAAACAACAAAAAAACAAGAAATACCAGGGTAAGAGATCAGCTAAATGCCTCTCTCTGTCTATAATTAATTTAAAAGAAAGGCATCAAGAGCTGATATGTGACCAAAACGTTTTAAATGAGTGCATCCAAATTTGTCATCCCTGAAACCTACAACAAACTACTGCTAAAACAGAGAACTTGCTTTGCAAGGTTAAGTTCAAATCATTCCTTTCTCCACTACGTGCCAAAAACAAGGGTCATGCTCAGATCTGAGGTACCAGTCCCATGACGAGGAGCCAGTTCATCTGGCCCGTCTTACAGTGCCCTTCTCTTTGGATCTCAATCACCTGGGCGCCCAGCATGCGCGCTGGGCCCCACCGAAGCAGCAGATGCCTGACTCTAAGCCTGCCGGCAATCAGTTGAATGTTAGGATTTTTGAGTCAGCTTCAACTGGTCTTGCAAGCTTGGTAGATTTCGTATCCTTTGCCGTAGTGCTTATCCTAAGTTGAGCATGCAATACCTTTTAGTCAATTAAGGTTTGTTTTGTTTGGGGGGCTTTTCTACAGGAAGTTCCTAGAAAATAAGAAAACTGAAGATAAATGACAACATAACATAACCTTACATGAACTGACCATGTTAAAGAAAAAGGTGAATAGACCGTAAGACAAATGTCATTAAGACGACAACACACACATGACTGAAGGTATTTAGGAACGAGCGTCCTACCCAGAAGATACACCCTGCAAGGAACTACACGCATTTATTTCCAAGGGGTGTAGCAGAGATGGAGGAGAAATCAGCACTTTATTTTTTTTAATCAATTCCTGGTAAATGGAAAAACTTGGTCTAGAATTTCATTTTGCTTCTCTACCTTTAAGTTTTCTTGACTGACTGCGACAGGAACTCAGTTTGAAAAGAAAAAAGTAGCTCTAAAAGAAGTATTAAAGAACCCAAAAACACCATGGGGTTCACAAAGGTGAAAGATGGGTAGGAGGTGAGTAGAGAATGTACCTCTTTCCTTCCCTTTCTGTTTTATTGGAGCCCCTGGAAATGATCCCTTAGCAACAGATTTAAACTCGGCACTACAGAAAGCCATGGTGAGGGGTGGGGGGTAGGTCACTGTAGTAAGAGCTGCAGCAGGAGAACCTGAATGACTGTGGCATGCCTGCTTTCCTGTGTTTTGTCCTAAGAAAAATATTTGGAGCACATGGCTTTTTGACACCTTGTCTGGCACCATGGCTTATGTTCCAGGAAATGACCCTCAGTGTTAAGGAGAAAACTCATGGAAAAATCACATGGCTGATTGCAAGCATATACTTGAAAAACTGTGGAATCCTAAAGTGGCATTGAAATGTAAAATATCTGAGTATCGAAAACTAGCTCTTAATCACAGCTTGTTGTAAAGATATACACAGGACAAGGATGTGCTGCCTGTTCTATAAGTCATCCCTGCGTACCCAACAGGGTAAGTAAAGCAAGCTGCAAACAGAGTGAAAGTGAGTATTCCTAGACATGTAATAGATGTGATGATTCCTTGTGTCAGGAATCATCCCTACACAAAATTTACAAGTAGAACTATACTTAAACAGGAAGACGACCGTAGTTCAAACAACTCCTTATTAGTGTAATGCAACAAATATGCACTGAGGCTGAGGCCGCCTCTGTAAGAGCCCTGGGCGACACGTTAATGACAATCATCATATTACCCAGGTCTAAGTTTACGAATCCCAGTTTTGTGCTAAACTAACTACAAAGTACTAAGACCAAAACAAACACTTCAAAGAAATGCCCACTTTTGTGTCCAGATAGTCAAAATATATCTTGATGAACATTTGTTTTCTAATTCCCAAGAACACTTCTCAGGTTTATGGTGAGTTGGTAAGTGGACCCTTGGATCACATTCCTGACCTACAGATGTGTCCACAGCACAGTTCCAGCACCTCACACAGAGCTGCCACCAATGCCTGTCATTACCGTCCACGGTTAGGACCATACAATGTTTTCTTATCTGATTCTTCTGTGCTTCCTTTTAGGCCAAATTTCACTCCAGCAAGGTAACCCACTGTTAACTATCAAACAAAGCAAAATAATGAAAATTAACTGGAGCAAAGAAGAGACATTATTTTTAAGGCACTTTAGTCCTCTGTAGTCTTAAAGGTTACTCAGAAGACACTGGGTAGAGGCTATTTGAATAGACTTGATAAATTTATAGTCACTCTGACAGCTATTCTTTGCAGAAATTAATTTTTCCAAATCAACTTTAACCCTGAACTGTGTAAGTGGGGCCCAGTGCAAAACAAGCACTTCTTTTAGATAACACTGAAGACAAAAAGGATAGAAACAGTACATTCTAAAGCATCAACCACCTGAGAGGTGTTTTATAGTACAATCTGTGAAAATGAAGGCACATTCTGTCTGTTGAAGATATAAGCAACTGGAAAAGGATTCAATTTGATCATGTCCTATTGGTGTGGCACCTCCAGAACACAGACTGAGCGCAAACAGGTGCACAATTCAATTACTAAAGGCAAGCAGTTTTGACAACTGATAACACAGGTGCTTATTTTCAGCAGAGCTAACCTCCAAGATGCTACCTATGTATGTGCCGTGGCCAGAGACCAAGTGTTGGTCAGACCTATGGCAACTAAATATTTAACACATTTATGAAGTAGTTTTTTAAAAATCTGATCCATTAATCCTATAGTAAATCATTCAAATCAGCCTGAGTTAATGATTCTTCTCTATCTTTAGCTGTGATTTAAGGCACACCAGCATTAAAAATTCTACCTGATCAATTATGCAGAGCTAATGGCACCTGTGTCCTCGTGACCTCTACATAACGGCAGTCGCGTCCAAACTTAGGATCCCTAATTCCGCTTGCTTAAAGCACCAAAGAATGTTCAGATACCAAAAGCTATAGCATGAAGGCCTAGAGTCAGGTGGCATACTGTGAAAAGACAAGATTTACAAGTATTTTGCAGAAATGCTATCTGATGAGTAATTTTCACGAGACTGAACTATTCAGAAAGAAACAGCAGGAATTCCAATACACATCCACTTCGGACAAAGGACTTAGAAAGTCTGAGAATCCAATGTAACAAATTCAACCACTGCCCTCTCTCTTCATCTGTCACTGAGAACAGTTCTTAATATAGGAAGCACAGGCAATAAAGCAGTAAAGTCACTTCAAATCTAAGACAAATCCTTCTATCATTAATGAGGAGACAAAGGTACTGACAAACGAGGCTGCCATGCCCTGGGTATCACACCGGCCTGAAAGAGCCGCCAAGGGTCCTGCTTGGAGTTTCAAGCACGTCTCTCCTACTCTGCTTCCCAACCAGAACCTGACTTGTTTACTGTCCTATGGCTGAGCTCAGGAGGTGGCGGACGGGACTAAGGCCTTTTTAAAGGACTATGTTTTGTTTTGACCGATGCAATCAGTTGTTAATATTTAAGCATTGGCAATGAAAGAAAGTCTCAGGTACTAGATCTATACTGAAGTCACAGAAATATTAAACAAGATTGTAACAAGGTTTACTAATGAACTTAGTGACCCGTCTTAACCTAAGAAATGGCCTATGATCAGGAAATAAGACACGTGACACTGAGCTATTACCCAAGACATAAAGGAAGTTTGAGAGGATTTCATATTTTCTTAAGAGTACTTTTGAGAGCTTTTCTATAGTTTCGAATTCAATTTACATCTGGCCATATTAAAGAAGTGGCACCACTTTGTGAGTCCTAAGTCTGAAATTAAAACTATTTATTCATCTCTAAAAGCAGCCAAAGCAGTGACCCTTCATGCCTTTAACTTATGCAACAGCTATTTCCTTTCAGTGTTTAGGTCGAAATTTTACAGGGAGGGGAAAAAAAAAAAAAGCAACAAGAAACCAAAAGCCGCCCATAGGCAAGGATACTGTCGCCTTCCCAGTCTTTCCCTCCCACCAGCTCCTGGGCTTACCTGAAGTCCTTCAGCTCCTGCTTGGCGCTGCCGTCCTCTCTCTTGTTCTCACTCAAGTCAGCAGCAGCTGCCAGCTGAAGGCTTCGGGTGACTGGCCCCCCGCTCCGCTCTCTAGATTTTATATTGAACCGGTCTGTTCTTCTCTTACTCGCCAAGGTGGATTTGCTTTGTAAAATGGCTTTGCTTTTCTGTACCCTCACGTGCAGGCTCCGCGATGTTTTGCTGGAAAGCTGAGCAGAATGATTTTTGGCCACAGCTTTAGGTTTCTTCCCCTCAACATGAGTTATTTTGGCCATTCTTATCGGGCTGGAGTTCCTTAAAGAGGAGGAGCTTGGTTTTTTGGATTTCACCGAAGCTGCAAACTTGACGTTCTGCTTGGACCTGAAGGATGAGGAGGGGAGCGGGACTTGGGTGGGGCCTGAGCTGCGGGCTCTGGTCTTGCCCAACGGAGTCTGCATGCTTTGCATTTTAATCTCCGCATCCGCTGTCCGTCTGCGGTGGTTGCTGTTGCTGTTTTTGTCACTACTTGCAGGTGATGAGTGTCCACCTTTCTTAGATGAATGAGAAACTTTTTTTTTGGGAGGGGAAAGGGGTTTCTTGGGACAGCTGAAAGCGGCGTGTTTATTCAGGCTTCCAATGTAAGTGAACTCTCGATTACAGTAAGGGCAGATGTGAGAGGATGACTCACAAGCATTTTTCAAGTCAGCCTTCTGCTTTGCAGATTTGTTTTTCTGAAGAATTGCTTTCTGTACAAGCTGATTTTTTTTCTTCAATGCATTTAATTTGAGCTTATTCGAGGACATTTTGCTGAGCTCAACACTAAAGTTTAGCCTTTTGGGCTGTCCCATTCGTCGGAAGGCATTTTTCCCAGAGTTATCTAAAACCACCATGCCATTTTTGGGTTGCACAGTTTGTTTTAATGGTACTGGGTTCTTCTTAGGCGTGTACCTCTTCTTGTCACTTGCAGAAGCACACGCCAGGATATGTTTGTGCAACTCCGGCATGTTGTCGACACCTTTTCCACACTTGGTGCAGCGAATGGCAGTAGTAAAAGTCTGTGGAATATTGTGTGTAGTGAAATTTGTGGCTGTCACACCAATCCCCATGGGGTTACGGTGATGGTACTGAAATGGAGGTGGTTTAAAGCTTGGGTAATGCTGATTGAGGCCTAATCGAACATCTGGATCTTTTGTCTTTATTCCAGAAGCCATTATTTTTATAGTCGTGTAAAGCTCTTCAGAGGAATCGTTTAACTCCTCTTCTTCTTTCGAAGTTTCTAAAGGATCTTCTGGCAAGCTCTGCATATGCTCTACATGGGCCTTGCTGGGATCTGTAAAGTTTTGGGGCCTCAGAGTCCCGCTTTCAAACTGGTGATGTGTGCACACCTTATCTGGGTGGAGATCTCGCTGGTGCTGCTGCAAATTGCACAAAAAAGCAAATTCTTTTTTACAAACAGAACACACAAAGATATTCCCAACTCCATGAAGCAAAAAGCGATGTTCTGACAAGTCCGTTTTATCCTTAAAAAGCTGCACACAAAATTCACATTTGAAGGGCCATTCTTCAGCATGAATAGATAAATGTTTGGTTAGATCTTTAATGGAAAGAAAAGGTGATTCACAGACATTGCAAACAAAGTTTTTGTTGAATGTTTCCTGAACAACATCCTGTTCAGCAGCAGACTGGGGCTCTTCCCTGGGTTTCAGACCTTCATTCTCCAATTCCTCCTGTTTGAAAGATATCATGGGGAGAGAAGCCTCCAGATTATCACCAGAGGAAACAACAGATGAGATCGCGGAGAGAGGAGGTGGAGAAGGAGAAGAGGAGGAAGATGAAGAAGAAAATGAAGAGGAGGAGGAAGATGAAGAGGAGGAAGAAGAAAGTGTTGGAGGCCCGGGTGATGCGGCAGACATCAGGGACTCCACAGGAGGAATGGGAGAGGGAGAGGGGGACACTGTTGGGGACAGAATTGGAAGTGGGGACTGTGCAGTGGCATTTGAGAGTGGAGAAGGGCATGGATGTGGAGATGCACTGGAAGAGGGGGCTGGAAGAGGTACGGTAGGAAGGAGGGGAGGGGGCGGAGTGGCAACAGTTAATACCGGGGGACAGGGTGGAGGGGAAGAGGGATCTGTGGGGATCAAGAGAGGAGGCAGCTGACCAGATGAAAGGGTGGGTGTCTGCAGGGCAGGTGATGAAGGACAAACATCAGGTGGGGACTCAACAGTAGGGGCAGGGAAACCAGAGTCCGGACCGAGGTCAGGATCTGGCTGAGCTTCTAGGGATTTACAAGGACTTGGGCTCCTGGTCATATCTGCAGGGTTTTCTACAGGTAAATCGATGCCATTATATTCATTGAGAAGAACCTTCTGCAGCATGCAGGTGGTTGGTTTCCTTTTCTTTACAGCACTACATGTAGGCTGCACTGAATGATTCTCTTTGAATTCCTTGCCTTCAGAGTCACTACAAGGCTTTTTATGCACACTGAGATCTAAGACAGATTCCCACTGGACTGGAGTCTTGCCTGTACCCTCAGTCTTCTGTTTGACACCGCTGGATAAATCCAGTGGCTGCTGGTTGCACACACTGCTAAAAGCAGAACTGGCTGTCCACTCTTTAGACATTTTATATTCATCAAAGCATGGAGGGCTCACAGTTTCTCTCTCATCTCTCCCAGACAAACTCCATGCTGGTGAGTCGCTATGACTTTCTAATTTGGATTTTTTGGAAGTCAGCACTGCATCGGTCCACGCTGCTTTCCCATCACTTGGCTTTCCAAAGTCTCGAAGGGCAGGACTGTGCTGTGGAGAACTGGGAGGAGAGCTGGTCCGCCTCTTAAACCTACTTGAGGTCACAGGCAACATTGATGCAGGAGCAGACACACAAACAGGACCTAATTTAGCTATTTCAGTTGCTGAAATCCCTGCAGGAGGAGTTAGTTTATCTTGGGTTTGAAGAAGTTGCTTGAGCTTTGATGACAAATAAACACTTTTCTCTTTATGGAAAGACACTGCCTCCGTTGTTGATATGCTAAGAGGAAGACTTAAGGAGCAGGAGGGGGCCATGGGGTCAGAATCTGCTTCGGCCTTAATTTTGGGCAGTGCAGGCGGGCTCGCCGTTCTCCGTTTCTTGGCCTCACTATTTGTGCTGCCCGAAGGCTCTTTAGGAAGATCTTCTGTTACAGGGACCTGTGTGGTCTTTATATTTTGAGTAATTTCCACTGTAACTGGAGTAAGCAGACAATTTATACCATACAAATCTGCCGAAGCAGACTCCATCTCAATCACATCACAGTTACTAGTGTTGTTATTAGTTTGAATTTTACCATCAATATAGTAATTTAAGTTTTCAGAGATATTGCTAGAAATGTCCATGATGTACACGTCATCTGCTTCCCCTTCCTCCTCTGGCTCTGTGCTTGGTACATAGACGTTCTGGGTGGCCTGGGCCTGTTCTGCTGGAGGCTGGGGCTCTTCAAGGCCTCCTTTTCGCCGTACACCTTTGGGAATCAGATGGCGTTCGTGAACTCTACGCTGATGCCGTCTCATATTAGTATGAGTTCCAAAAACCTTTTTACAATATTTGCACGGATGAAGTTCTTTAACTTCCCCATTCTCTTCTACAACAGAAGAATTTACTGTGTCTTGGGAAGCCTTCTCTGAATTCATGATCAGACAGTCTGGCCCAAGACTGGGAGGACTCAACTCATCTTTTGAAGTAACGTTTTCTCCAGATGCTTTGCCATCAGCCAGGTCCTCTGACGGCTGTAGTGTTTGGCTGGGTTTCCGCTTTAACCCTGCTTCGTGGCGCCGCTCATGCCGCCGCCGGTTAATCTGTGTGCCAAAGGCTTTCCCACAGTACTTACATTTGAAAGCATGATTGATGGTGGATATATGGATATGCATGTGACGCTCAAGCCCCTGTTTGGTTGTAAACTTCCTTTCACAATGCTGACATGGAAACATAAACGTTTCAAATACATCACCATTGGCCTCTTCTTTAGTTCTGGGGATTTGCATGGCAGGTGCTACCTCTGAGAAGTCTTCAAGAGTTTCTTCTGAAGTTGTTTTTGGTTCCTCTAATAAATCTTCTGGCTTCTCATCACACCGTATTTCTGGCTCTTTCACAGAACTTTCATTTGGCATGCTGGCTTCTTCTTCCCCCTCTTCTTCCAACTCATCATCATCATCTTCTTCTTCATCCTCCTCTTCCTCCTCCTCCTCTTCCCCCAAATCATTCACCTCACAATCTGCTGCTTCTAATCGCTCGTCTGGTTCTGGCTGTGGCTCCCAGGCAGGGGCAGGGGTTGCTAGTTCTGGAGGAACCTCCTGGAGGGTGGCCGGCTGCTCAAGTGCTGAGGCTGAAGGCTTCTCTTCGTCTTCTTTAGGACCTAGAAAGCACATGGAAGCAGAAGCATGGAAGTGAAGCATGGGAAACCAGCTACTTGGTGAATAATTTGTATGATTCAAGTGATTTCTCTTACCACCTAAAACATGAGGGAGATGATGAGGAACAATAAATTACTTCTATTTTATATACTTAATTGATAAAGTTGTATTGGATATGAATCCATTTCATTCATCCATTCATTCAACAAGTATTTAGAGTACCAGCTACATACCAGGCAATATTCCCAGCAGTGAGGATACATACACGAACGCAATAGACAAGGATGTCCGTGTGGAGCTGGGGTTTTGTGTTTAGTTGCACATACATACAACTCTGTTTACAGAAACTGCAGTGTTTAAAATTGTGTTGGAGTAAACTACATTTTAGGAGAGTAGTTGTAAATTCTAATTTCTCATGATTCCAAACTGGAAATAGTTCATTACCAGACATATCACCAGGTTAGATCCTTGCGAGTCTGTCTGGAGTAAATGATCCTCTCTCCTTCTTAACTAAAACGTTATATTCAGAAGCTAGAACATTTTCCAGAATCATGTAATCACAAGTTTTTCAAGCTAGATAATCTTTGGAGATCATCTCTTCTAAGCCTAGCCAAGTTATTAAGAACTCAGGAGCATCTCACTGAAGGGAACAGAAATCTGCAGTCCCTTTGGAGTCCCTAGGCCAAGCCCACCTGAGGTGGGTGGTAGAAGGCGGTCACGGAAGGACTTGCTTAGAAGGTGACAGTGGAGGAGAGACCTAAGGAAAATGAGGCATGCAAATACTGGGGGGCGGGGGGGGGAGGAGCCCTACTCGATAGAGGAACCCTCAAAATGCATAAGCACTGAGTCAAGAACATACTAGATGCGTTCAAAGAACAGCAAAGACGTCAGTGAGGTGAGGTGGGGAAGCTGGGGAAAGTGAGGGCAGGAGATAAGACTGGAGATGCAAACAGGGGCCTACTTACACAAGCCCCTGCAGGCTGCTGGCCTTTACTCTGAGTGAAAACGGCAGGCTACCAGATAGAAATATATAATCTGATTTGTATTCAAGAGACTCACTCTGGTTACTACAAGGAAGATAGTGAACCCTAGGTGACAAGGGTGGAGGCAGATGGACAAGACGGGGCCCACTGCATCCTCCAGGAGAGGCAGGATGGTAGCACAGGGGTGGCAGCAGGGCGGGACTACAAGTGCTCTGGATATACTTTGGTGATGAAGTTGACAATGCGCCTGCTGACTGGTTGTGGTGACAGAGAAGACGACATTCCACAGAACTGCGATAATCCTGGCTAATAAAATGTTGAAGACCACAAGAGAAGCAACTATGGTCTGTGTGCATGTGCATGTGCATGTTGTGGGGGAAATCAAGAGCTTACTTCAGACGTGCTAGAGTTTAAGGTACCTGAATACATTAAGTAGACAGCTTTATATGAATCTGGAATTCAATAAAGAGGCTGGCCTAGAAATTTCAAAATCCTAGAGAAGGCCAGAGAAGGTATCGGACTGGATGAGGTCACCTGGCAAGTGAACGCAGGCAGAAGAGGGATGAGACGACTGTGTCCCAGATGACTCCACAACTGAGGCTGGGGGAAAGGCCAGTGAGGTATCTGGAGAAGCAAGAGAGTGGTGGCCCTTCGGCTAAGTAAACAAACTGCTTCACGGAGGGAATGATCAGCTGTGTTCAGAACTCCTGCTGGGTTGGATAAGGACTGAGAATGGAACATTCCATCTGCCAAGGCAGAGGTCTGGTGATTGCGACAGCAAGTGGAGTGGTGGGGACAAATGCCTAACAGAGTTCCTAAGAGAATGGAAGGAGACGGGAGAGACAGGGAAACTATTAGCGACTCTTTCAAATTTAGCTGTAAAGAAAAAGAAATGCAGAAGAGACTGGAAGAAAACACAGGGACAACAGGATTCTTAAAGACAGAAGCTGTAATCATGATTACTAGCTGTAATCATGCTAGTAGGAATGGTCCCCAATGCTGCTGTCGTGACAGTCCCACTTCCTGCACTGCAGAACCGGGCCCCTCTACCGCAGGCACTAGGAGAGTGAAGAAAGGCTCCGTGGAGCAGGCAGAGCTATTCTGACTTCTTCTCCAGGCTACATTACCTGGCTGTTCCCCCAGGCACCTGCAAATACTGACTTAGCACCCACTATCTATCAGCACTAGGTAAACAAGACTGTCAAGATCCTTACCCACAAAGAGCTTCACTTTCATAGAAGCCACACACAAGCAGGAAGGCAACGAAACTACAGAACATTAATGGCTGTGTTTATGGAAGTAAGTGTGGTACGGAAGCATCTCACACAGGCTTGATTAATCAGGAAAGGATTCTTAGAGAAAGGGCTAAGCAGACTGAACCTGAAGGATACAAGAATTAAGGACAGAAAAGGAAAAGCAAGCAGAGAAGAATCAAAACATAGAGAACATTATAAATTAATGTGGACTTATCTGGCAACAGTGGGGAGCCGCTGAAGGTATTTGAAAGCAGGAGAGTGCCATCTGGGAGATTCGGCTGCAGGGTGGGTGAAAGGATGGGGGAAGGTCATTACTGGAGGCTGAGGAGCAAGACTGGCCGAGTGGAATGAGAATGGAGATGCTGGCTGCTGTGCTAACAAGGAAAGGGGAAGAAGCAGTGGAGGCAGAAAAGAGCAGCCAGACCCTCATGATCCGAGAGGCCTGCTACTGGACACGTGGACTGTGTGGACACAGTGGGGAAGAGGTCAATGCCAGGTACTATTCATACAAGCTCACTTATTCAGTCCTAGCCCCCTTGCTGTTTCCCAGGAATATGAGGAACTAATTTTTCCCATCTGCTACTACATTTACTAGCAATGAGGTTTCTGTTTCCAAACAGAAACAGCCTTCTCTCCCCCTAGACTAATTTCATAAATTCCATGAGCTTTCCACAAACTGGGCAACCAGTCATTCGATGGTAGTAATGTATTTCAAATTAGGAGCTACCTCTCTTTTCAAAGACATTTTCAATAGAGACCCAGAATACTGCCAAAAGAGTTGAAATGAAACAACAGAAAATGCAATTCTAAGGCTCAGAAATTTCCTAATACACTTCATTTTCAGTGAAAATCTGTGGCTTCTTTTAATGGGGAAAAAATGTCTTTCCCCATGACTGGTAAACAATCTCAGATTTAAAACTGTCCAAAGTAATACAAACCAAAGACCGACCAGCTCTATTAACAAGTACAGCCCATGCCAGAGTGGGTCCACGCACTTGATGTGATCTGTGGAGTTTTAACATAAAGGGAGGTTTGGGAGCACAAAGAAGAGTCTGAACTGTTTGCTCATGATACAGACCATTAGCTGAGGACAATGCAGAACATTCAGGGGAAGCCTACGACCCCACTTTGACCAGCTGTGCCACATACTGGGGGATAAAGAGCAAGTGTCATTTTTCTTTTCTTTTTTTCTTTTTTTTTTTTGAGACGGAGTCTCGCTCTGTCTCCCAGGCTGGATTGCAGGGACGCGATCTCAGCTCACTGCAAGCTCCACCTCCCAGGTTCACGCTATTCCCCTGCCTCAGCCTCCCAAGTAGCTGGGACTACAGGCGCCCACCACCACGCCCAGCTAATTTTTTGTATTTTTAGTAGAGACGGGATTTCACCGTGTTAGCCAGGATGGTCTCGAGCTCCTGACCTTGTGATCCACCTGCCTCAGCCTCCCAAAGTGCTAGGATTACAGGCGTGAGCCACCGCGCCGGGCCAGCAAGTGTCATTTTTCATGGGACCTGATGTTGCATCAGGAGAAAAATAATTGTCTTGAATTACTCAAGGGGAGTAGACGACTGTTGAACCTGTTTTCTAATTCTGCCACCAAAGGTAGTAAGGTTCCTTTCTAATTTTTGTTGTTCAAAAAAAACTCTCGGCAAATCTGCAATAAGGAGGCAGAACTTAGTTTTAAGACTCTGGGAAATGAATTTGACTATTCTTGCTTCATAAAATGGCACAGAAAATTATAATGTTTTATGAATGTTATCATCACAAACAGTGCTTAAAAATGGTTATGAAAGGCATCCAAAATATTTTGGTTATTTTCCCCTACAAATATTTCTTAAAGAGTCACAAACCTGTCTTCTGAAATTTGCCTACTTGGGTCACTATAAACAACTCGAGTAAGCTCCGATCTGCGAAAATTTGCCCACGGCAAATTAAGACACACCTCCTTCCCTTCTGCATTAATAGTCTCAATATGGTGGCCCAACTGCAATGAGCACAGGGCAAGCTGTCTTTCTGACTTTCAATCCATGCCTCTTGGTTGGATTCTTACGTCACAGCAGGCCTAGAATATTAATCAGCAGAGGGACTATAAAGGAGAAAATTTTAAGGGGAGAAACACGAAGAGAGAAAATAAGAATTTAAATTCTAACAAAAAACAGAAACACACTTCATTCTGTACACTTTTTGTTCTGTTATACAAAAATCAAAGATCTTTGATATTTTAAGTAAATGCTTAATTTGCAGTATAAAACATCCATGTATTAAAGTGTACAAATAGTTAAGTATATATACAGCAAGATAAAATGTTCACTAAATATATATACCCATGTGACCATTCCACAGATGAGTAACAGAAAACAACAAGCACCTCAGGAGCCTCCTCATGTCCTTTTGCTATCACTATTTTTTGATGGTTTTGAACTTTATGCTATTTTTAAATGCAATCATATGTTTCATTTTATTATCATTTTTATTTTTTTTAGAGACAGAGTCTCACCCTGTTACCCAGGCTGGAGTACAGTGAGGGGGATCACAGCTCAATAGCCTCAAACTCCTGGGCACCAGTGATCCCCCCGCCTGCAGCCAGGACTACAGGCACATGCCATCATCTTAGTGAATGTTCTTATTTCATTTTCTTTTGTAGAAACAGGGTCTCACTATGTTGCCCAAGCTGGTCTCAAACTCCCGGCCTCAAGAGATTCTTCTGGCTCAGCCTCCCAAAGTGCTGGGATTACAGGCGTGAGCCACCACACTTGGTCTCATTTTATTTTAACAAGGGAACAAGTTCATTTTTAAGAAGAAAAGTCTTTCATAATTGTTTGAAGGGAAGGTAGCATATAGAAGGCTCAGCTTACCATATTAAATTTAGGCAGCTTTTTTGCTGTTTAACCTCATAAAGATCCTAAATGATTCTCAGAAGGACAACACAAGGAGACACAAAGTTAAATTCACTGGGTACATATATACTCAATTCAGACCAGGCCAATATCACAAGCTTACCTTCTGCAGAATCTCTCATATTTGCAGAGGTGAAATCTGGCTCACTTGTCTTCAGTTGTATGTCTTGGATTTTGTTTCCTTTGTTTTTATTTTCCTGGGATTTTTTCTTCCCTGAAACACAATTTTTATTTATTTATTCATTTATTCTTTCATTCGCTCATGTGTTATTCTGAATTATTGAAGAAGACAATTATTAATCCAATCAAGCACACTGTATATTCCTGGGCAATTATCACTTTGGATTCCTAAAGAAAGGAATGAATCATGAGTATAAATACTATGTTATACAGATAAATGATGACAGAGGGGAAAAGAAAGAAACCCATCAATCTTGTATTTTTGAGAATCTTGGGCATTAGTTCCCTTCATAGCTATAATGACCATCAAATTATGAGGTAAGGTATTCTCAAAAAGCTACTATTGATGTCAAAGGAAAATTAGTAATAGCATTGAATTTCAATGCCACATAGTTAATAGGGACTGACTATTTGTAAGAAGCATATTAGAGAAAAACAACGTTATAACTTGGGGCCCTTTTAACTAAGACATGATTATCCATAATTGTTGGAAGCAAAACAAGAGAAGCAGAGATTCTGCTGAATTTCAAAAGATACACATTCACAATGGCTTAAATACCAAATTCAGAGTAATTATGAATAATTCACTGTCCACCAGCATGGCACTCTGAGAGCCCTGAGGGATCTGACTAGGTCCAGCCCAGGTCAATATTTCATTAACAATTCAGAGGATGGAATTCAGAAACACTGACTGCATTCCAAGTGATACCATACGTTTAGAAGGTAAGATTAAATTGCAACATCATTCTGATAAGCTGGAACAACGAACTCAAGTCATGAAGATAAGAAACAATTATCTATAGGAGTAATTATACTGAAGAAGTCAGAAGCCCAGTTTCTTTAGGATTTAACCAGAATTTTTAACCTTTCTTTTACATTTTTTAATTACCAGATTTCTATTTTTCTGGAAGCTGGTGTTTCACAGTCTTCAGATCCAGACAGATCCCCATTCTTCCCTAACAATCCTCCTTTTTCTCCACTGCTCTCCCCCAGACAAACCTCCACCAGCTTCCAGAACTACAAGCCTCTGACACTTTTTATCTCTGCGTTAGTAAAATCAAACTAAAAACGACTTAAAGCTGCTATACACACATAAAGTTATATTCTCCATAACAGAGAATCACTACCAGGAAGCATAATTAGTTAAAACTGTAAACAAACAAAAATGAGGTCAGAGACATAAAACAGCATCATTGAAAACATCTAGATTAAAAGTAGAAACATCAAGTACAATACAAAGCAAAAACAAACCCTAAAAACCACCACCAGATTTTGATAAAAAATTTGAGAAATAACCTTAACAGTCATTTTGCTTGTTAATCTTAAAACGCAAATTCTAAAATACTATTTTAAACGCATTTTTTTTTTTTTTTTTTTGAGACGGAGTCTTACTCTGTCGCCCAGGCTGGAGTGCAGTGGTGCGATCTCAGCTCACTGCAAGCTCCACCTCGCAGGTTCACGCCATTCTCCTGCCTCAGCCTCCCGAGTAGCTGGGAACTACAGGCACCTGCCACCACACCCGGCTAATTTTCTGTATTTTTAGTAGAGACGAGGTTTCACTGTGTTCGCCAGGATGGTCTCAATCTCCTGGCCTCGTGATCTGCCTGCTTCAGCCTCCCAAAGTGCTGGGATTACAGGCGTGAGCCACCGCGCCCGGCCTAAACACCTAATTCTTCAGCCCATAGGAAATCCGATTTTTTTGCCACTACATTTATAAGGGTTTGAGCAAATACATTCCTGATAGCCTGTCTATCCATTCACTTCCAAAGGCACTTAAAATGGAACGCAAGAAACAAACACACACTTTACTGGGACCACAATCCCGTGGTAACAAGAGTGAAGGATCTGCACAGAGCTGACTAACACGTGTCTCCAGGTGAGGAATTATAAGCCAATCTCCCTCCATAAGGGGCACAAACATCTAAGCACCTTTCCACAGGCATAACCTCCTCTTGTGATTCTTTCTCCCTCTGTCAACTTAACAGCACTTTGTCTAAATCAGATAATGACAAAGGTTCTTCAGGGATCCAGTTTTAAGGGAATTTGGATTCTACCTCCTTTCCATCAGTTCTCTTACACTTATGACATAAGCTAGTTCTGTCTGTGTGTAATGCTCAGCCCATATTAGATTACTGATAGCAAACAAAATGCTCATTGCCCAAACACATCCATAATACAAATATAAATGACTACTGACATAACTTCTCTGTGCTGCAACTGATGTGTGAGGAAATCCATGGCTTCTTTTATGACCATGTGAAGAAAGAGTTCCTGGCGTAGCCCACAGATCCAAAAATCATATTCAGAAACTTTTTCCCTGAATCCAATGACATTTTTATAAGACATACCCCCTCAGGCGCCCCAAACAGGCCAAGGAATGTGCCCTTTTTTTTACTGATCATTTACTTAGTACTTAGTATGAGCTTTTACAATAAATTAAAAGAGAGGTGTAATGTAAACCTTCACTCCTCGCATAAACCTTACACACATTTAAAGAAGGGCCACACTGTAAAATTTAATAGAAAAACAGATGTCAATTTGCTGTAATACAATCACTTGCAAAAGAAATGCAAAGATTTTTCCACAACCTCCCAAGTGCTGTACAAACCCAGTCTGTAGGTCATATAAACAGCAAAGTACACTGTTCTATATGTAAATAGAGTATTAAATAAGTAAAATGTCTAGATGAAATCTTAACAAAAGGAAGTACAATCTTAATACCATTAAGATGCACTCGAAATCACATACTATCTAAAAGGTAAAGTGCTATTTTAAGTTTTATAACAAGAACGTTAGAGCACCTAGCTGACTCTAAATGTCAAATTCCTTTTTTGGACAATCAAAACTAATCAGTGAGAACTCCCTTTTCTCTCCCCAGGTGTCCTCTTTAAAAGTCATGACCCTGGAAACCTAATCCACTATGAGTAGAAGCCATTTGTAGTAGGTACATCTCCTGTATCCTATCAGAGGACTAAGGAAGGTATCCCGCCACAGACCGCTACAGGTGCCTCAACCACACCATGAACGACATCTGGGCCAGATAATCAATCCTTGGCTGTGGGGTGGGCTGTCTGATGCACTGGAAGATGTTTAACAGCACCTGTAGCCTCTATTTAGTAGATGCTAGTGGTACCCCGCTTCTAATTGTGACAATCCAAAGTCTCTAGACATGGCCAGATGTCCCCTGGGGAGATTTCCTCAGGTTAAGAACCACTGGGCTAGACCAATGCATTTCTGTGTCACTAAAGACCTGTGAAACTTAACAGTCTATATACGTATTAAAAATTACAAAAAGTACTTGAATAACACTAATAAGCCAATTCTAAAATGAAGCGATAAAGAACTAAATTTACCACCAAACTAAATTTGGTGAACACCAACAGACTTAGTTTATCAAGGAAATGAGTGTATCACGAGTCTATCATGGAATTGAGATCATCTGACACCTGAAACAATGTTCTCAATCTTCATGAGAACCATCTGTTAAGTTACTTCTCATCATGACAGCCTTAGACTAGGATAAAGGAACTATCGAAATCACCTGTCCTGCCTTCAATTTCGTGGGAGAAAGTGAAGGCCAGGGCCAGAGGGGAACTAATTAGTCTATGGCAGAACAGAAAGCAGAACCAGGGGTCCTGCCCACACATACACATGCTTGGTGTCCCTCACAATCTCCAAATATTGCAGCAACAGGTGGTGGAACCTGCCACATTTCCTTAAACCAGTACTGATTTCTTCTGACACCTGATTTCTGTCCTATATGTCATCAAATTAAAAGAAAAAAACTAAACCCATAAGGACATTTACAAAGAGGAGATGGAATTTGTGAGCTTCTCTCTGTGAAGCAGAGGAGCAGGAGCCACTGGGAGCCTGGCAAGCACACAAGTGCACTTACCATCGGGTCCTGGGGGTCCTACAGGGTGCTACTGCCAGCTGGCTGCTCCGCTTGGTCTAGACAAGAAAGACAGAGGAATGAAACACAAGGAAAGTGAAATGGAAATGATCACAAGAACAGCAGAGGGACAGAACACCACCATGTGCATGAGGAAAAGAAAGGAATACATCAAGATGAGAGACTGAATGCAACAGAAGGAAAACAGCAGTTACCTACTGCATCAAGTTGCTCACATACCAAAATTAATGTTTAACTGTGTACTTAGTTGCTGAGAATAAGACCAATGTAGTGTATTCATTCTTGGGCCTATACTGTGCCCTTATTCTAAAACTGATGCCCCTACCACTTAATGGATCCATTTTGCTAGAAGCCCCCGAAGTCCCAACGCATAAATCCCTTTACAAGGGAGACACCCAAAGAGCAGAGATGTGAAATAATCTGCCCAATGCCACACGACTACAGTAGCTGTAAAGCCAGAATGAAAACTCAAGGGCCAGGAGCAGTGGGTCACACCTGTAATCCTAGCACTTTGGGAGGCCGAGGCAGGCAGATCACCTGAGGTTAGGAGTTCGAGACCAGCCTGGCCAACATAGTGGGTGAAACCCCATCTCTACTAAAAATACAAAAATTAGCCAGCCATGGTGGAGGGCACCTGTAATCCCAGCTACTTGGGAGGCTGAGGCAGGAGAATCACTTGAACCCCGGAGGTGGAGGTTGCGGTGAGCCAAGATAATGCCACTGCATTCCAGCCTGAATGACAAGAGCAAAACTCCATCTTAAAATAAAAAAAAGAAGGCCAGGCATGGTGGCTCACGCCTGTAATCCCAGCACTTTGGGAGGCTGAGGCAGGTGGATCACGAAGTCAGGAGATCAAGACCATCCTGGCTAATGCGGTGAAACCCATTCTCTACTAAAACTACAAAAAACCAGCCAGGTGTGGTGGCGGGTGCCCGCAGTATAGTCCCAGCTACTCGGGAGGCCAAGGCAGGAGAATGGCGTGAACCTGGGAGGTGGAGCTTGCAGTGAGCCAAGATCGCGCCACTGGACTCCAGCCTGGGCAACAGAGTGAGACTCCGTCTAAAACAAACAAACAAACAAACAAAAAACTCAAGGACAAAATGTTAAAAATGATCTTTCTC